AATTCCCCAGCCAGCATGAAGTCCACTCATCTTAAAGTGGCCAAGTTTGGACAACACTGGGCTAGCCCCAGTCAATCGCCTTTGGTGTGCAGGCATGTAAGATGTGCACACGTTGATCAATAATTCGCAGCACTCCTGGGGAGAATCTTAAAGTGGCCAAGTTTGGACAGCACTGGGCTAGCCCCAGTCAATCGCCTTTGGTGTGCAGGCATGTAAGATGTGCACACGTTGATCAATAATTCGCAGCACTCCTGGGGAGAGGTCATTTGGTTCTGGTGTTTACGGGTACACAAGGCATACAATGCGTAAGTGAGGGGTGGGATGTTAAAGGATGGAGATGAATGCATATTGCCTCGTGGAGGCTTAATGCATGTGCACTGATTTTCTTTGTTTGTTTGCAATATTTGTTGGCTACCACAGTTATGAGCCTTGGGCAGTTTATAGCTAGGTCAAGACAGAAGCAGTACAAAGTGATACCTACGTACCAAGGTAAATGTCAACAAACAGCCAGTTAGGGCCCAAAGCATGATAGAATAAAAACGATTTAGCTGGTTTGCAGAATGCAAGGAGGGAGATGCTACACATACATCCAGGAGAACCACATTCCAGAGGGGAGGGGCCACTGTAGAAAAGGCCAGCCACCAAGTCCTATGTACTTCCTGTGCAGGAGAGGGTGGTGTCTCTCAACAAATAGTAAGAAAAAGTGTGGATCAGATGGGCAGAATCAGGGTGGTGCCTGATGTAACTCTGCGTCATGTTATATAGGGGTTTGTAGGTATCCAGCACATGGAATTTGAATTATCTCCTTTATTTTGGACTTTTCATGATGGTTGTTGCCAAAATGTGCATTGCTGGAAATCAGCTTTTGTGCCACTGAATTCCTGCAGCACTTTCTTGAGGTAATCAGGGGGTTGCAGACTACAGTTTATCAGGTGTGCCCTAGTTGATTTGCTGCAAGGCACCCAGAAATCTACCCAGCAGTCCCAGTGTATCTTATGACCAGCCCAGTTATAAAGCCAAAGCATCCTTTGCTCATCTCTGTTGCAGCAGTGGACAACTTTGGGGGGCTGGGGGCTGCCCTTGGATGATTGAGCAACGCAGTTACGTCCCTGAAGTGCATCGACTCTCATTCCAAGGAAGGGATTTTGTATTTGTGGTATTGCTGGGCTGCTTCTTGTTATTCTTGGTGTGTTAAATTCAAATGAAGCCTTATTTTCCCTTTTTTAATTGTTTTGCTCCCCTAAATGAGAATTTGTTTCAGTGAACTTACAGCCCAAATTCAGTAGTGCCACTTATTGAAGCCATAAGAGCCATAACAGAAGGAATTTATGGTCACATATGGGCCATGGTCAACAGGTTACCCTCACACCTCCTGTCTTAGAAGTCAATTTACTATAATACCAGATCCCAGATTCCTATTTTCCCAAGATATCAACTTGTGTCTCAGAACCCAAACTTGTTCTTGTTGCTTTCCTCACCTTTGGTAGGTCCATGATGTGCCCATCTCAGACCGTGACCTGGAACGTGAATGCAGAATCCAACTGGCAAAATTGTGCAAAACTCAGCCTAAATTCCAGTACAAGCCAGAGCAGCGCCTCTCTGGGGCAAAGGCCATCTTTGATGCTCAGCAACTGGAGGATGTGCAGGACAATAAGAGAGGGGAGGAAATCCACACACATACTTTCCACATCCCCCAGATCAAGGTAGACCCACCCCCATTATCCCCAAAGGAGCATAAGAGGGCCTCGGAGATGCAAAGCCAGAAAAAAGAGCAGAAAAGGAAGAAGCCGGACACACGGGGAAAGACTTTCCATGTCCTAGAGCATCCCAGGGGTAGAATGGAGAGAAAGCTAGAGTCAGAAGCTGCAAGGAGCAAGTCTTCTTTTTACTTGGAGGCATGATTCTGAATAAGGGGAGAGAAGAGGTGGAACTCTGGGGCAACATTCTGCAGCCTTCTCTCACTGCCCTGCTCTGGTTAATGGATGAATTCAGAAGCTTCTACATAGCCTGAGTTCAAGGCAGTCCTAAATTTCTAGAAAAAAGAAGGGCTGGACTTTCTAATTTAGAAACTTCCTCTTTTAGAAGCCTTCATCTATATCCATGCTTGAATTAAAAGAAGAGATAGGTAATCCCATCCTACATATGTTTGGGGATGTAAATAGAGCTATGAGCTACAGGTTTTGGGGTGGGGGGTGGGGAGAGATACAATTTGGCTAAACCTGATGAAGTTCAAAGGGCAGGACACATGGATTTCACTAAGTACTCTTCCACTGTCACTCAGCCCCCATCCCCAATAATTTTGGCATAGCGTCAGAAGAAGAACCTCTGATCATTTGGAAATATGGTAGTCCTCATTTAGTGACTCCCTCAAACAGCGACCATTCGCAGTTACAACAGTGATGAAAAAGTAACTTTTTTTAGCAGGTCTGTAAGGCAAAGGACAGCTGAAGTAAAGTTGTAAAATCATGATGTTTCACTTAGTGACTGCTTCGCTTAACAGCTGATTTGCCAGTCCCAATTCTGGTCACTAAATGAGGACTACCTGTATGCTACATATTTTCATCTATTTTTGCTCTGGATGTTGTAGCTAAAGTCCAGAAAAACAAAGGCAGAAATAAGCTCTTGGGTGAATGAAACCTAATTGTGAAGTACAAGTTTACTGTTGCTCTAGGCTTTGGGGTTTTTGGCACCTTGCTTCTAAGAGGGTAAAATTTATTGCACATGTATACATAAACCAGATTCACAGAATCTAATAAAGTAACAAAAATGTTCTTTTACCTTTATCCGTAAAAAAACCAGAACAGACATACTCTGATTCAGTGTGGTGAAGGGGGGTTTCATATAAGTATTTGCTTCCAGGGCAAGACTGTTTTAAATTGACAAAATGAAGAAACCAGAGCAGGGATGAATAAATTAGTGGTTAAATGAACTAATCATAACAATTACAGTAAAAATTAAACCCCCAAAACCCCCTCAATAACAAAAATAAAAGATCCACGTGATCAGTATAAATACTTATAAGGAGTTAATTTAATTGGGAGCTTATTGTTAAATATGGATCACTTAACAACAAAATGTGTCATCTTTTCATTTTCAGAGCATAAAAACCTTTCAAAAACAGATCACAAACTCATAAAATCAGGAGAGTGACTTTCTTTCCAGTTACGTACCATTATCCTCTTTGTTCTGCCTCCAGCTTGATGGAGCCAAAGTTCTTCATAAAACGATTAATTCTATATTTTACCAATATAATTCAATGTCACCCTACAATTCTTAAATATAATATTTGTTCCCAAAATTATATTAACATACATGTTAATTTGAAACCCCCCAAAGTTATAATGGAAGAAGGCCAAATCATGTGAGTTAAAGAATGTTCAAATTTCTTATATTACCAACGTAGAAGTCTTAATGTCCATCCTTTATTAAACATTCTTTGATAGATCCAATAGACCTGACATTATATTTTCTGATTAATTAGTTTCATCTTTAAATAGTAAGAATTGTATTTCCCATTTTTTAATACCTGGACCCATTGATCTTCCAAAACTGGATATTCTAATTCTTCCTTCCACAGATCCAATATATAATTAATGCTAACTTTCCTTTCACTTTTTATTACCTTATAAAAATGAATTGTTGGTTTTCATTTGAGTGTAGCATCTCTTAAAGAAGCTAAAATAGTGAGTATCTTGATGGCTGGTAAATTATCCAGACCGTACTTTTGGTTAATATATGTTTCAGTTGTGTATACTGCCAAACATATACAGAAAGCAAGTCAAACTCAAAAGACAATTTCTCAATATTTTTAAAACAGCCATTGAAAATCAACTGAATTAAGGTATTAAGCCATCATTTAGCTCAGGTACGGCATTCAAATAGAATCTCTTCCTCACTATTTTCAGATCTGAGTTCTACCACATCAACTTACCTATTAATAACCAAATATACCTAGCAGCTTTCAAACCTGGAAACAATCCTGATTTAATATATCTAGATGTTAACACCTGTCAAGATTTCAGGGATGTTACACATTTGCTTTCCAAATGGGCCCGGCGAGGAAAGTAATCATAATAAGTCTTATTCCAGTATAATATAGATGTTAAGATAAAGGCCCAATGGTATAGTTGAAAATCTGCTAGGTTAAAGCCACCATCCTCATAAGGTAACTGTCTGGCCAAAGATATTCTCAGGGCTTTAATCTGCCATAAAATATTCTCAATAATGTATCTATCTGTATGGAAATCTAATGGGATTTAACACTGGAATCCTTCTTAAGAGATACATTCACCTCAATGTAATATTCATTTTAATAACATTAATCTTACCCCAAAGACTTAATGGGAGTTTTGACCATGGAGTTATATCCATTAAAATTATATCCATACATTTATTTAATTCAACATAATGTAATAAACTTTGGGAGGGATGTAAACTCCAGTATTTTATAGAATCTGTACAAATAGTAAATCCTAAACACCTACAATAACCTACAGGTATAGTATATCTTGAAGGCAATATATTAGACCTATTCCAATTAATAGTATAGCCAGAATATAAACTATGTTGATGTAAAGCTTCAACGAGCTTTGGTAATGATATTACATAATTATCAAGAATAGCAACAATGTCATCAGCATATAAGAATAATTTGTATCCAATATCAAGTGCCACCATGTCTTACTATCTTGAGACTGTCTAACAAAAGAAGAAGATTGTTCAACAACCAAATTAAAAATGAAAGGAGACAGTAAAAATCTTTGTTGAGCACCATGATGTAACTTAAAGAGAGACAAATCCATTGATGACAACTCTAGCTACAGGATAAACATACCAAATTCTAATCCAATGAAAAAAAAAGATAATGGGGACCCATGTCTTCTTAAAATGTATTTCATAAATTCACTCTCTAGACCACATCAAAGGCCGTTTCATGCATAATGCAAAATGAAATTAAAAGAGCTGATTCCAATCTATCTGCAGTTATATCCATAAAGTCAGTCACAAGCGAACATTATCAGATGCTTGTCTAGTTCTGATACATCCAGATTGAAATGGTATATTAAGAATGGTATTGCTTTTTCTGTCTCTAATCTAATATTGCTATTAATATTTTAGTGCCCACATTAAGCAAAGATATTGGTCTAACGCTAGAACATATTGTAAGATCTTTCTTAGGCTTTCTTAGGCTTTAATATTACTGTGATGATAGTCTGGATTTGAGGTATAAAATGCCACTGTTTCTGTTGTTTCAAACAATAGACAAAAAACTTTCCAGCATTCTCTCCTGATTCCCAATATTGCTGGTTAATGCATTTCAAAGAGTATTCCAATTGTTCTGAACGCAAAGCCCCAATTTCAACTTTTCTGCTGTAAATGCTTCATATAATTCATCTGTGGGGTTTCTAGCAGATGGCTGGGTAAATCCTTAACTATCTATCCAACGGTATAAAGCTGATGGAGTCTAAGTCTCTTTTTGCTGAAGTAAAAGAAATAATGGATTCCATGAAAATTGCCTTAAACATATGTTGGTTGAACCCCAGTTAATGTTTTAAAAAGAAACTAATTTTCTTCTTAATATATTCCAGAACAAGAGAGTCTCTAAGGAGAAAAATATTGAAATTCTATCTAGGATTAGCTGATTTATAATTATTAATTTTCAAAATAGAGTCATAGGAGCATGATCTGAACTTGCAATTGGACCTAGAGAAGAATTCATAACTATCCACCAAAACAGAAGAAATCAGAAAATAATTTAATCTAATCTAAATCTAAATCTAAAACAGCTTTGATATGCATGTGAAAAAAGTATACTCTCCAAGTTCTGGATTTTAAAAATGCCAAATACGTATTAATTTGAATTCCAATATACATGCTTGCAATACTTTCCAGTTCTGAGAAGAAGTAAGAGGTTTTTATTTGAAACAGTTCTAACTGAGGATCTTGAGTTGGTCGAAGTGCCACCATATTTTACATGTTGATAATCTACAGAATATAGTTTTGCAAAACAACCATGACATATTTCAGGAGTGTTCTTGGTACAACCATACAAATAAAAAATGGCAAAGTGAGAGTAACTGTCTTAACTATCAAAGAATAAAATGTCTATCACTCTCACAGTGTTCATACTCCACACAAATGTGCTAACTGATGTGAAATTCATGGCTGAATTTGTCTGCGAGGCTAATGTAAGCCTCCCATTGGTTACAAAGAAAATGATCCACAGGCGACCCGAGTTACTTTGAAGTAGTGCTCTGGACTAAAGCAAAGACCATCTCAGCAAAACTGCAAAGCGGTATTAAACACTGAACTGGAGGTTGGGGTAGGGATGGGGGAATAAAAGCCCTATAAGGTTGCAGTAAAGCCCTGTCCATTTGGCTAAACTGACCACAATTCCTGGATGGCTGAGGTAAGAGTACTCATTTTACAAAGAGCTGTAACAGAAGAGACCGGTATTCTGAATTGCTGAAACCTTCACTATCCATGGGAAACGAATGTGCGTGAGAGAGGATCAATGGGAACAGATACATCTGCTCTAATTTTCCCTTCCCCTAGAGAGCCAGTTTGGTGTAGTGGTTAAGGCACCAGGCTAGTAACCGGAAGACCGTGAGTTCTAGTCCCGCCTTAGGCACGAAGCTGCTGGGTGACCTTGGGCCAGTCCCTCTCTCTCAGCCCGAGGAAGAAGGCAATGGCAAACCACTTATGAAAAACCTTGCAGAGAAAACTGCAGGGACTAGTCCAGGCAGTCTCCGCGAATCAGACACAACTGAACAGATAAAAAAGTGATTTAGGATTATTCCTCAGAGCCTTGTCTGAAGTCCTTTCTTCTAACCCCTGGGACAGCAGAAAAATATGCCTGCATACTTTTTACTGCCTCGTCACTGAACCCAGTTTGACTCAGTGACAAGCAGCTGCATCTACAGAGAGGCTCAGAAAAGTCAAGACGGTGGTTGTGACCACACAACTGAAGCCCCACACCTTTTTGTACACACGTGAATATTGCATGCATGTGCAAAAGGGTGAGACTTAAGTCACATGTCATGATCACCATCTTGACTTTTATTTGACCCCCCCTCCTCAGATACTCCTGATAAGGCTAGGACGTAGTTGTTTCCTTCTAGTTGTAATATGGAACAAATTAAAGAAAGCAGTTAGTGGAGCCTCTCAGCAAGTGTCACCAACAGGTTGGGTAGAACAACCAGAAATCACTCTTCCTAGCATGGGCTAGCTGGGGAGGAGGTGAATTTTGATAGATACTACAGCAGTGGCTTAGTTATTTGTGAAACCTTGCTTTTGCACAAGTGTTTTGCACAAGGGTGTTGAAAGGGAATCTGATTATCAGACTATAGTCAGGCTACTTTTGGACATGGGTTTTTATTTATTCCAGAAATAGTGCTATTCCTGAACATTGCTATTCTAAATCCATGTTTACCAAAAAACAGGAGAGGAGAGGAGAGGAGAGGAGAGGAAAGGAAAGGAAAGGAAAGGAAAGGAAAGGAAAGGAAAGGAAAGGAAAGTCCTGTCCCCCGCCTGAAGAAAGCAGCCAACTCCTGCTGTGGCTCAGAACAAATTTTGGGAGACCCAGAGCAGGCACCATTTTGGCTTACCTGATAGCCAATTGGATGGCTGGAGATTAGGACATGGAAATAGTGACTAGGGTGCACAGCATGGGTGGGGGCATGAGTGAAGCTGCTGCATTGAGGTTAGGTCCCTCTCAGCCAGAGATACCTTTGCCCAGCATTTTGTAATTCCCAAAGTCTGATCAGTTTTG